AGCGGGAATACTCTGGCTCAGCTGTAGTGGTGTACATCAGAAACTATTAAACGAGGATAGGGATGACATTTTCCCTGATTTCTAGGTGTAAATAAGGATTTTCAGCTCTTCCAGGGCATTCTTGTTAGCTCCTCCTTGCTTCAGGTCCTCCGGATTGGTGGGCATTATGGCACTGAATAAAAATCACCATTTTTCAAGTCACCTCTCTGGTCTGTCGAGCTGCAACGAGGAAACTACTGAGGCTCTGCTAAAGCCACTGCCCAGTGCCCAGCGACGCAGAGCTGGGGCGACCCCAACATCTTCCTCGCTCTTTGCTGAGGCCGCAGAAAAGCTGTTCTGCGCGGGCAGATGTGGCCGGCCAGCTGCGCCCCGACACGTGCCCATCCCCCACAGCGGAGCCGCCTCCACCGCCTCGTACACGGGGAGAAACAAATGGAAGGGAACCCGCCCGAAGAGGATGCGGTGCCAGCTGCGCCACCGCAGCGCTTCAGCCTGCGCTGCCCGGGGAAGAGAGCACTTCTGCTCCGCGCTTCCCACCAGCCGGGCAGCGGCGAAGGGGAGAGCTGCCCAGGAGCTGGGAGTTCGCCGCTGGGTGGTCCCCAACACAGGGCGTGCAAGACCCAGCAAGGGACTGGTGCGAGGGCCGAGCCCATCTCCCGCTCCCCTGCAGCGCGGGGGGCTGGAGGGCAGGCAAGCAGCGGGCTCTTGTGGGCATCCAGCCCGAGATGCTGACGCCAGCGGTAGCTGGCAGGACCCAGCTTGGCACAGGGGTGGGTGGGAATGAGGCTCACGGTGGCGTTGAGCCTCTCTTGTTTCCTTGTTCGTATTTCCTGAATGCTTTGAAGTGATTCCAATGCACCAACAGGTAGAAATAAACCACGTGATTTGCACCTACCGAGGCTTTAACTGCAGTGGGGGTTGAGCAAATCTCAAACAAAGAATTTTAGTAGAGGCTCTTTGGGATTAAAAAACCGCGGTGATTAACAGTCAATTTTTAACTCAAACAAGGAAGCAATTCCTATCTGAAATACAGACACTAAACACTGTTTCTGTTTGGATCTGAAAATGGATAACAACGATCTGTACGAAGATAAATTGTGGGGAAGAAAAATAAAAAAGGAAGAAAGCTGATTGGGGCGTGGCAGGAGATGTTTAAGGATGTTGACATTCCTGAGACCTGCAGCATTTCCTATTGTTTCTTGAGCTGAAAAAAAGAAGAAAACTTAACTTCTCTCCTCTCCTCTCCTCTCCTCCTCTTCTCTGAGAAGAGAGAAAAGGAAAGAAAAAAGAAAAGAAAATAGAAAATGAGATAAAAGAAAAGAAACACCTTGGTGGCGCAGGTGTGCAGACAGCAGACTGGGTGGCAGGGCAGGACCAAGTGTCCCATCTCACAGCTGCTGCTGGCTCCTCAGTGCAGGTTTGGCAGCCACCGAACCGCCCTGGAATGGCTCCGTACGTGCCCCACTGGTGCGGGTGGCAGCACGGCCCAGCAGACCGCAGCAGTGCCGGCGGGGGCTGCTGCTCGGTGGCTGCGGTGCCGTGGCTCAGCTGCAGCACCGCAACAGGTCCCCTCGCCAGCCCGGCAGCTTTCGG